GTATTGATGTAGTTGTCGCACACAAAAATACATGAACAATTGTATTCCAACCAGGGGCGGACTGACAACTCATGGGGCCCCCGGGCAATAGGGGATCATAGGGCCCCTGTGTCCTTGCCCAAACTCAAAAAAGCCTATGAAAAAGGTACCAGGGGGCATCTCATGGGGCCCCCTACTGACCCCGGGCCCTCGGGCAGTGCCCGAGTTTCCAAATGGTCAGTCCGCCCCTGATTCCAACATAAACATACAACAAGAACATTAGTTCCTACCCATTTTTCCCGCTTATTGCTGTTGAGAGCAACTGAGAGGGCTCACAGAGGCTCAGTCCAGGTCTACAAGATGCTAGACACAGCCCCACTGATGCAGTTTTTCCTTGAGAGGTGTCAGGTGGTTCTGAGCCCCTTTGTCTATCAGGTCCTGTAGCTAGTGCAGGGACACCATTAAATTTTATGATGAAGGATTTGCTGTCCACTATAGCTTTTATGGGGCGAGGTAATAAAAATCACCTGTCCTCCTCTTCATAGTTAGAAGAGGAATTGGTGGACAATGAGGAAAAAGCAAATGTGGAACCTGAATAAGTCTTGGGCACAATTTTTAGGCCTTTTTTAGGATACAATGCTGAGGTACCTGAAGCACATCTCATCCCTAATGTACTCTCTGGAGAGGTTGGCTGATTCTCAATCTCCAGAGTTCGGCTTTGATGCCAACTCAGCATTTGATATGTCTGGGCCTGCTCCTGGATAGGTGATTCTTCCTCAAGAAAAATACCTGGCTTTGAGGAATCAGTGTTTTTTTCTTGGAACACTGACACATGTCTCAGTTCATGAGAATGCTAAGGAATATGTTTACCTCATTTTCAGCAGTGCTTTTTACTCAGTTCCATTCCAGAACTTTACAACAGAGTGATCTGTTTACCATGGGAGTGGAGGACTCAGTCATTGATCTCTCCAACGTCCCTACATTCCAATACTAATGGTCTCTAGACTGGTGGATGTAGCCCCTAAGGTTGGAGAGGGAAATCTTTTCTCCCTTTTTGTAGGAAAGTGCTGACAACAGATTCCAGCTTAACTTTTTGGGGAGGAGTTCTGGATTGCTTTTCAGCACAAGGAATGTGGTCTCATCAGAAGATTTCGTTACCTGTCAATATACTGGAACTGCAAGCAATTCACCTAGTTCTGCTTAAGACAGACCAGTTGCAGCTTCTTCCAGTGAGGGTTCATTCAGGAACTGCCATGGCTGCAGCATATATCAATCTTCTGGGGGAACCAGAAGCCAGGCAAACCAAAAAGAAGTGGTCCTCATCCTGTCTTGAGCAGAACACCACTGTCAGGGATCTCCCGATCCCCGAAGCGATGGTCCCGGGCGCAGGCGCAGTGCGCCGCCCTGTGCAGGGACACGGGCACTAGGTCCGGGCCGGCCGCGGCGTTCGAGTTCGCGCATGTGCAGTAGAAACCACGGCCACCCGCTGGGCACCAATGGCAGCGCAGGGCGGGATATTTAAATGGCCCTGAGCTGTCATTCAGTGCCTTCTGGTCTTACCTGCATCCTGTATCCTGCAAACCTGTGCCCTGTAAGTTTTTGACCCGGATTGTACCTGACCTTGCTATATTCTCCTGTCCTGACCCTTGCTTTGCCTGACCTCTCTCCTGGATGCCCCCTATTGGATTTGACCTGCTGTTGCTGACCTGGCGTGTGACTCTGCCCGCTGCCTTGTACCTTACCGTCCTCTCTGTTACCGACCCCGCCTGTCTGACCTTGCTCATCCATCCATCCCTCGCAGTGGGGTCTTCAGACCTCCTCATATCAGACTCATTCCCGTGGGAGCCCTCGGCGCATACCACTACCACTGACGGACGTACCCAGTAGCCACAACCTGGTCTCTGGGTGCTCCAAGTCCATCCCCACCATCAGGGGCCCTGGTGAACAAGCACTCTGGGACTTAGATTCCGTGCGCTGGGGACGTCTATTCAGTGGAGTGCTAGTGGTACCGCCGGGCGGTCCCTTACAACCCTGCTCTGTCTGTAGTCTTGTGCTGGGGGTAGGGAAATGGCAGGTGGATTTCCTTGGCTATCAACATTTGGTGATGGAGGAGTGGGCTCTCTAACTGGAGGTCTCGATGTCAGTACTGGCACAGGCTGGGAATTAATTTGTTGACATTCAGTTCAGTATGAGACTGGGCAGATTTCTTGTCAGGTCCTTGTTGGATGGCCTGGTGATGTCATGGGACCAGTTCTCCCTGTCTTAGGCCTTTCCTCCATTACATCTCTTTCAATGTCTGCTTCGCAGGTGGAAAGAATCCTGGCAAATTTTATCACACCTGAATCAGTTGGTGCATGGTCCTTGGATTCTTCCAACCCGACCAGACTCCCCGTTGTAAGGTCTGATCTTTCATCCTTTTGTTATGATTGGTTTTTGACTGCAGTCAGAGTTTTGATGGATAAGGGATTTCTGTTGACGTCCTGATGAAGCTGGGGTTCCTGGCGAAACTTGTTGTACCAAGGACCAAGGACTTTGTAAGTGTCTGAAGTTTGTGTGTGGAGGGTGTGAGAGACACTAAGGAGGACAGTTCCAACACCTCTGCTGAATTGCCATGCTATTCTGTCTGTTGCCCCCATCCCATCTGCTTTATCTGCCTTCCCTGATTTATGCTGCTGTGGTTCCACATCCTTTATTAGCCTGCCATGGAAGATCTGGTGATGTAGAGCACTGTCTCTTTACCATTTGCTATACATGCTGCCTCTGTTGCTTTGAGCCTTTCTGCTGAACTATTATCTATCTAGGGGGCTATGAGAGATACTTATTTGCACAGACACTGCATTTAGCTCCCCCCTTTGCTTACAGGACTGTGTGCTCAGTATAGAAGATTCGCTCATCTATATCCATGGCTTTGCTACTACTACATTCCTAGTCCAAGCAGAAGCTTTCTGAATGAATCAATATCTGATTGATCAAATAGTTGCAATCACCTATGTTTTTTACACCCGGTGATCTTGTTATGCTTCTTGTTAAGCTTGAGTGAGCTATATTTTGGTTGCCCAGAGCTGTTCTAGCATTGTGATTATTTACCTTTGGCTCATTTAATTGATAATGGGTCACCATGATCCTACAGCCTCACTGATAGGACACCCTTAGGTGGAGGATACATACAGCTTTTTATCGCAGAATTTAATGCTTTGATATGTTATAATGTTATAATGTGAGCTGTATGAATATGTGTGTGATGTCTAGAGTACTCTTTGGTACTAAGGCAACGTTGCCTTGTTTTATTACGGTTGTGGAAGGTGGTTTATTATTTTTTACAGTTTTTTGTATAGATTTTGGTAAATTTAATAAAGATTTTTTCTATTATTATTGTGTATAATTAATTAACCTGTCAATTTATGCCCCAGAGGCTCAGTATATGGCCCGTTTTGGTGAATTGCTCTGTACCTACCTGTTTTTTCTTTTCTTAATGTCTGATGCAGTCATCCTCACACTTTTAAAAGCCAGAAAGGCTTCTTCAGGGAAGATTTACCACAGGACCCGGAAAGCCTAGATGACTTAGTGTGGAGTGTGTTATGCTTTTCTCCAAACAGGATTGATATGAGACTGGCCTTGAGTATGACCAAGTGACAGATTTTGACACTGGTAGTCTCTTTCAAAAGTCAATTGCTTCTTGTTCTCTGGTGTGTACCTTTGTTCAAGATGTCATGTGGATTGTTCTTCCAGTGAGGTCACTGTTTACTCCAGAGGATCTCAGCTTGGTGTTATCAGTTTGCAGAAACTGCCATTTGGACCGATGCAAGACCTTACTTTAGTTTTTTTTTTTTTTTTGCACCAAAGGCGGTTTTTTCCATTTTTACATTTCTGGTACTTCATCATGATAGATGGTTGTTTGACCTCAACTGGATTTTTTGCCTGCTGCAGTTTCAGCTTTCCATGTCAACCAGGTAGTCAAACTGTATTTGTCTCTCCATCAGGACTAAAAATCAGGGTTACAAAGTTTTATAGTCCTCTATTTTCTCGTTGCCTTCCTCAGCTTATCTCTCAAGTCTATGACTTGACAGAGAAGTTCAACCATTATCCCATGATAATTCAGTCTGCCAGGGGTGTTGCTGCCTCTTGGGCTATCTCCCATCAGGCTTCAGTGGCTCAGGTCTGCTAATCTACAATCTGGCCTTCAATGTTCAAGATTTTACCAGACAGATGTTAGAGCCACTGAGGATGCTGCTTTTGGTCGCACTATTTTACAGTCTGCTATGCAGATTCTTTTTAGTCTGTTAGTGCTGGCTGTGTCTTCCTTCCCTCATGGGCATTGCTGTAGGACAGGAGTTTTTAGGGGGCCAGCAGGAGTAGAAAAATTCCTGGTGTAAGTGGGTGTGTCCCCTCTTTGATATTAGAGGGAGGAATAATGACCCCTCATTGGTGTCAGTGGGAGAAATAGTGCCCCATCATTGGTGTCAGTGGGAGGAATTCTGCCCCATTGTTGATGTCAGTGGGAGGAATAGTGCCCTGTCATTGGTGTCAGTGGGAGGACTAGAGCCTCGTTGTCAGTGGCAGGAACTATGCCCCACTGTTGCTGACAGTTGGGGGGGATGCCCCCCAAGGGCCAGATAAAAGCAAGCAAAGGACCTCATTTGGCCCCCGGGCCGCAGTTTGGAGACCACTGCTCTAGGGCATCCCTATGAGTATGGAATATTATGGTCGATCTATGTCCTGTGATGTATTCCAAGAAATGGATTTTACAGATAAGTACAGAATCCAGTTAATAAATGTACCACTACTTGAGTAATTTAGCTTTGAAGCTCAAGCACCCTACAGTTTCCAACCTTCCCTTGTCTTTCTAAATAATTATTTTTGCATTGTAAAAACCCAAAGCACAACAGAGTAGATCCTCTATGGATGGTGAAACATTTAACCAACTGAGGGTGGATTATGGCCAATCACAAATGAAATTTTAGTTCTTGTAAACCATTGTCAATCTGGTCTTCAAAGACATTCTTTTTCTGTCCATTTTTTAGCCTGGTAATGACCTCCACCCAACAGACGAAAATGGAAAACTCATCTTTAACAACACAGACCTTCGAGACACGTGGAGGGTATTGCATTTTAATGTTCAGATTCCAAAATTTAAAGTATTGGCAAATTATGACAATTTGGGGTCACTAGATGATATTCGTTAAATATGTTACAGAATTTACCATCTTTTTTTAATCCCAGGCCATGGAGGACTGTAAAGAAGCTGGACTGACCAAGTCTATCGGAGTCTCCAACTTGAACCGCAGCCAGATTCAACTGATTCTCAATATGCCAGGGTTGAGACACAAACCAGTTTGTAACCAGGTGACGTATGCGAATAGGCCTTCCTGAAGAAACCACTTTTTTTAATGGATAATGAGAACATATTTTTATTGGTACACATTATAGGAAAATACATGTTTATTTAAGGACTCATGCACACTTGGTGGCTGGACTGGTACTAAGGTTTAGTGATGTATGCAATCAAGGACAAGCGCCAATGGACTCTATCATCTGTGTCTATTATGAGGGGTTCCCACCACGCGTGTGCTGAGCTTCTCTGTCTTCACACTTGCTGTGCTCATTGTATGGGGCTCCCACCCTCACTTCCTGTCTGTGGCAACCATACAAGAAATCAGGAAATGGAAAACTAGGACAGGAAGGCACAGATAGCAATCGAAACATTGTAGGAAGTTCAAACTAAAAATGTTTTTTCTTTTTGTCTGTTTCCCAGTGACAGGAAGTGAGGGGAAATTTCCCCATTAGGGATACTGGCAGCAGTTCTACCTTGATAGAAGCTCCAACCTTTCCGTTCTCTATCCAAAACAAAATACAAAGTTGTGGCTGGAGTTGGGACTCAAGCCTTTGTTTTTACCTAAGAGAGAAAAGCACCATCACAAATCAAGTATATATATTTTTTTTAACATTCAAATATTTTATTATAAATTTTCAAAAATACCATTTTTCATATACAAAAGCTAATAAAACCACCAGAATAAGATATTCATATTTATCCAAAAATATATCAAGATATTAGCATTGTTCTTGGTATCCTTTTTCCCCTTTTCCCTTCCCCTCCCTCTTACCTATACCTCCCCTGCCCCTAAGCCCTCCCCCGCAGCCCTGATTATGTTCTTTCCTACTCGTTCTATTAATCCTATTCAAAGAATATTACTTTTTTAAATTTAATATTACAACTATCCTCCATGACTTCTTTTCTCTAATACATTTATTCCAGGTATGAGTTTGACTTTTTAAATTCCTCCCACTTTTCCCAGCTTATATGAAAAATCTCCATCCTATCTTCATCCATATGGTAAAGTTCCTCCAATTTGTAAGTCCTCTCCACCCTTTCTATCCAATCCTTTACTCTCGGTGCCTGTTGTTCCCTCCAGAATTTGGGGATCAGGCCCTTTCGCTGCATTCAAGTAGTACACTAATCCGATTTTTTTTTATATTTTTTTACCGAGAGCTCAGAGCCATAGAAAAGACAAATCTCAGGTTCCTTTGGAATATTGACCTCCATTATTTCCTGTATTAAGTGTACTATACTTCCCCAGTACTGTATTTTATGACACTCCCACCACAAGTTAAACATTGTGCCTCTATCTCCACATCCCCGCCAACATAAAGGTGAATTATCTCCACTTATCCTATGTGCAACACTCGGTGTAATGTACCATCTTATCAAGAATTTATAGTTCATTTCTACCTCCTTCATATTTACATTTCTGTGAATTAAACTATACATTTTCTTTTGTTTTTTTTCTCAGCAATTATTACTCCTAAATCCCTTTCCCATTTCTCTATAAATAGTGGCCTTATATCCATACTTAAACCTGTGAGTATCATGTATATTTTAGAAGTCCCGTGCTTCCCATCTCCTCGTGTTCCTAGTAAGTGCTCGAAGGGGTTCCAATCCTCTTTTTTTCTTAGTGGTTTTGAGAGGTTCCCTATAAAGTGTTTCAACTGAAAATAATGCCATACATCCATTCTCATGAATATTTCCCTCTTACTTTCCAATTCCTTAAGTGAACATATTTCCCCTTCCTTCATTATATCTCTTAATTGTGCTTCTTTCTTCTTTATCCACTTCCTTGTAATACTTTCTTTACCTGGAGGGAAAGACTCTGTGTACCCAAGGGGCATTAGCAGTGAATTAAATTCCCATCCCATTTGTTTGTGTAGAACATCCCAAACTCTTAAAACATTACTTGTAAATAAACTTGTGTTATCTGCTAATCCATGGTACTTAGGAGGCAACCAAATATTTCTGCTTAAATCCATACAACTTAGTGTGTTTTCTATTTTTACCCAGCTTTTCAAAAATCTAACCAGTCAAAAATTCTTGCCAATATTACTGAATTATAGTATCTTTTTATGTCTGGTACTCCCAAACCGCCTTTCTCTTTGTCTCTACTTAGAATATCATAACTACAGTAATTCTAGGTTTCTTATTCCTCCAGATAAATCTTGTCAGGATTTTTTAAATTATACTAAAGTATACCTCGGGTAGTTCAATTGGTATCATTTGGAATTTTATATAACATTTTTGGGACAATCACCATTTTTATCAAATTTATCCGTCCAATCCATGACTGAAATCCCCATCCTAATTTCTTTATTTCATCTTTAATCTCATTTAATAGAGGAATATAATTTAATCTATCTAAATTTTTTATAGATACCGTCAATTTTATACCAAGATATTTTAATTCTCTTTCTCTACAGACAATGGAAAATTCCTCCTGTAGCATTTTTTTTATCTCTGTTTAGAAGGTTTATATTTAAAATCTCTGTTTTAGTTGGATTATTTTTTAAATTTGACATCTCACCATATTCTTTTAAAGATTTCATTAAATTTGGCAGTGTTATCCTTGGGTTTCACCCTCCACCTTTCTCTCTCTCTCTCTCCTTCATATCTTCCCCTTCGTTCTCTAGAGTTTCTCCAGACTAGTGTACCTCCAACTATCCCATGTAATCTAAGGCTGCCAAAGAGTCCCAGGCTGTCTACTACCTCCCCATACCCTTCTTCCTCCCTTCCCCCCTCCCTTCCCCTACCCCCCCCATCCCCCGCCTTCACTTCCCCCCACCTCCTGCCTTCCCTTCCCCCCAACCCCCATCCCCTTTTAGGCTACTTTCTTGCCTATCAATAATTTGTGGTCCTAACCCCACCTTTGATTCGACTTTAGAGTGAAACTCTAACCATGTACGTCCCTCCAGTATTCATACCTAAACCTCCGTGTCCAGCCTTACTTAAAAAAGAAAAAACTCAAAGATCCTAAGAAGGAGGCAGAAATAGAGGGAGATAATGAAGAAGAGAAAAAACAATTCATTCAATTTCCCCCCTTCCTCCCGTCTTGATCCTTTTTACTATTTCTACTCTCTATTCCTTCTTAACACTACCTGCCATCGCTCTTTTTCTTTAGCCCATATCTCCCCTTCTTCTACTTCCCACCCAGGAATATCCATTTTCTGTAAATCAAGTCTCTCACAAAAGTCACTCAAGTCTTCAGGATATCTCAATCTTGCTGAACGACCGTTTTTCCATCCATTTAAACACGCCGAGAATCCCCAGCTGTATCGAATATTCTGCTTTCTCATCAGCTCTAATAATGGTTTCAGAGATCTCCTTCTTATCAGTGTTTCTGTTGCTAGATCAGCAAAAATCTGTATATTTATTTCTCCATATTTTATCACTGTTCTTCCTTTTATCTTCTTCCAAATTTCTTCTTTATCTCGATAGTTATGAAATTGCACAACTCTCGGATTATCTTTTCTGCCTTCTTGTTGATGTCTTCCTATTCTATATACTCTGTCCATTTTAAGAGTCTCTGATGTAGGTCTGTCCCATTATAGTATTCAGCATTTTCCTTATTATTCCCATTAGATCTTCTCCTTGAGAGATCTCTGGAAGACCTCGTATCCTTAGGTTACATCTCCTATCTCTATTCTCCTGATCTTCTATTATATATAGTAGATTTCTTTGTTCTTTTCTTGTTTCTATCGTCCGTTTTTCTAACTTCTGATTAATTTGGGTATGTTTATCCACTTTTTCTTCCGTCTCCTCCACTCTTAATAATATTTGCCCCAGGTCTTTGTGCATTTTCGACATTTCTTGTTTTATAGATTTCTCAAGTCCTTTAAACATTTCTGCTATTTTTGTTTTAGTGGCCAGCTGTGAGCTCTTGTTCTTCTACATTTTCCATCCCCACTTCTTCTTCCATTTATTGACTACTATTGGCTATTCCTAGGGATAGTCTGGAGTTTTCTCCAACACTGATTTCCATCTCACTCCTTTCAGATATTCCCTGTTGTCTTTCTGGGGTCTGTTTCTCCTGTGAGGGTATATATTTTTTTAATTGAGCCTGTTTGGGAAGCCTTAGGCCCACCTCCTTTAGGCACTTTATTTTTCTTATTGTCCGCAATTTTTTTAAATTTTTCCGGATTCTGAAGATTTATTTTTTAAACTAAATATCCAAGTTATGATCAATTTTATAATCTTCCAGGGGAATTTCTCTCTACTTTCTTCTTTTCCTCTCCCCCCCTCTCCTAATCTCCTCTGCCAAGTTCCACTTCTTCTGGGTCTTTATTTGTTTTTTATTTTATTCTCCTTCCACTCCTTTCTGTTATTTCCTTCTCCTTCCTCTCTCTTCCTTTAGACCCCCTGGGTGAACCCCCCCTTTAATTTTACAGCACAACTCTATTCCCCCACATTCCTTCCATCACAGCAGTCTGCCGCTCTCACTCACCCTCCTGTCGCCTTCTTCACTTTCTCCTGGGTGAGGCGGCTTAGATTACTTTCCTTTGGGGGGTTTCAGTAGTTCAGGCAAGTTGCAGAGGAGGGGTTCTCCTGTCTTCAGTGGGAACCTGGCAGCCACAGTCCCTTATATGAGAAGGGGGGATCCAACGTCTCCTTCCCTCAGAGAACGCCGGCCGGCTTCCCCACCTCCCAGTGCTTCCTTGCGGTGGGTCACATGCGTACTCCAAGCTCCGGGAAGTATACGGCACCGGACTGAAAGTGCGGCGATCCCGCTGCAGCAGCCGCCTCTCTGGGAGATCCCTGGTCCACCCAACCTCCACAGCCGATTCGCACCAAGTGTCTCCTCTACCGCTCCGTGGGGACCGCGCTCCTCCACCAAGACCACCCCTCTCACTGGTGAGTCTTGCTCTCCTTGGGCATTTCTTTGATAGGCAGGACACGGAGGTAGTTGTGAGCTGAAAGCCCTCACATCGGGCTCTCACTCCATGCCATGGTCAGGCTCCTTCCGGAATATGAAATCAAATATTTTAATACCAGCAAACATACACGAATCTCTTTGAATCACATTTAATATGATTATGAAATGTGCTTGCTGCCTTCTTCCATATCCAGGTAGAGTGCCATATATACTTAAACCAGCACAAGATGCGGGAACTCTGCAAGTCACATGACATCAAGCTGGTGGCCTACGGAGTTCTGGGCTCCACCCGAGATCAAAACTGGTAAGGAGTTACTTTATCATTAACATACAGTGCCTTGAAAAAGGATTCATACCCTTATAAATTTTCCATATTTTGTCATGTTACAACCAAAAGTTGTAAAAAATATTTTATTGGGATTTTATGTGATAGATCAACAAAAAGTAACACATAATTGTGAAGTGGAAGAAAAATGATGAATGGTTTTCAAAATTGTTTACAAATAAATGAAAAATGTGGTGTGCATTTGTATTCAGCCCCCCTGAGTCAATACTTTGTAGAACCATCTTTTGCTGCAATTACAGCTGGAAATCTTTTTGGGCATGTCTCTACCAGCTTTGCACATCTAGAGAGGGACATTTTTGCCCATTCTTCTTTGCAAAATAGCTCAAGCTCTGTCAGATTGGATGGAGAGCAATTTTCAAGTCTTGCCACAGATTTTCATTTGGATTTAGGTCTAGACTTTGACTGGGACATTCTAACACATAAATATGCTTTTACCTAAATCATTCCATTCTAGCTCTGGCTGTATGTTTAGGGTCGTTGTCCTGCTGGAAAGTGAACCTCCGCCCCAGTCTCAAGTCTTTTGCAGACTCTAACAGGTTTTCTTTAAAGATTGCCCTGTATTTGGCTCCATCCATCTTCCCATCAACTCTGACCAACTTCCCTGTCCTTGCTAAAGGAAAGCATCTCCACAGCATGATACTGCCACCACCATGTTTCACAGTGGGGATGGTGTGTTCAGGGTGATGTGCCGTGTTAGTTTTCTACCACAAAAAGTTTTGCTTTTAGGCCAAAAAGTTCAATTTTGGTCTCACCTGACCAGAGCACTTTCTTCCGCATGTTTGCTGTATCCCCCGCATAGCTTCTCGCAAACTGCAAACAGACTTCTTATGGCTTTCTTTCGACAAAGGCTTTCTTCTTGCCACTCTTCCATAACGGCCAGATTTGTGGAGTGCGTGACTAACAGTTGTCCTGTGGACAGATTCTCCCACCTGAGCTGTGGATCTCTGCAGCTCCTCCAGAGTTACCATGGGCCTCTTGGCTGCTTCTCTGATTAATGCTCTCCTTGCCTGGCCTACATTTATTTTTTTATAACCTAACCCTGCTTTAAATTTCTCCACAACTTTATTCCTGACCTGTCTGGTGTGTTCCTTGGCCTTCATGATACTGATTGTTCACTAATGTTCCCTAACAAACCTCTGTGGGCTTCACAGAACAGCTGTATTTATACTGAGATTAAATTACACACAAGTGGACTCAGTATTTACTAATTAGGTGACTTCTGAAGGTATTTGGTTCCACTAGATTTTAGTTAGGTATCAGTGTAAAGGGTTATATAAAATCACTCAGATGGGACGTGCCTCCTGATAATATGGATAACACAGGCCTTTTCAGAGTGGTTCCAGTTCTTTAATAATATTGGTATTGACCTACCTAAATTTCTGATCACACCGAAAAAGAAAAAAACCCTCACCTAGATTCAGAGATTAATCTTATACAAGAAAAACTCATCCCATATAAGGATAGAGATGAGTATAAAAAGGAATCTGATAAGTTAAAAAACTATTTAGAAAATGTGTAAAAAGAACAAATAACTAAGAAAAAGAAAAAATATAATAGAGATTTTAAAGATTACTAGGAGAATCTAGTCTTTAAATGGCAACTTTCACTTAAAAGATATTTCTATCTAACCCCATAGAACTTAACAATAGAAGTGCCTCTAACCACTCCACTCTAAGAAAAGCCTCTACATACAACCCACCTCCACAACCCCGTTCTCATGTTAATATATTTAAGGAGTTAGTCTTAAAAGATCTGGAAGAACTGAAGATAAAAAAGTCCCCTAAAACCGACTCTACAAAAGGTATTGAACTTCTCCTGGAAAGGAAAGCTTTGGTCATCAGGCCAGCTGATAAGGGAGGGGGAGTGGTCATCCTCAATAAAAGCGATTACATTGAGGAAGCATATAATATACTTAAGGACAATACCACATATACTCCTCTAGCGAATGACCCCCTACTAGCATTCAAACAAGGTTTGAAGAACATCATTAAAAAGGGATTTAAAGATGGGGTAATTAATAAAAAAGAAAGAGACTTCCTATGTTCTTCAGCATCAAAGTTCCCTATCTTTTACATACTACCAAAAATACATAAGAATCCGTCAAGACCACCAGGGCGACCGATTATCAGTGGGATAGGGTCCCTAGCTTCAAAAGCAGGTGAATATATTGATTACTTCCTGCAGCCACTAGTATCGCAGATTCCTGCCTACTTACGCGATACAAAGCACGTATTGAATGCCATTAAGGATATTACGATCTCATCCAATACTTTTTTAGTAACAGCTGATGTTACTTCGCTGTATAGTAATATTGCACACACTGATGGTATGGAAGCAGCCAAGTTTTATTTGGAAACATACAGCACCTTATCACCTCTCCATATCGGTTTTATTCTGCAAATTTTACAGTTTGCTATGCAAAATAACTACTTTTGGTTCGACCATAAGTATTTCCTACAAACCAAAGGTGTTGCAATGGGGGCTAAATTTGCCCACAGCCTAGCAAATTTATTTATGGCTTACTGGGAGGAATTTTTAATCTTTGCCAGGGAATGGCCTGAGCTAATTTTTTACAAAAGGTATATTGATGATGTATTTTTATTATGGAATGGGGAGGAGCAGTCATTATTAAACTTTATTAGCACATTAAATGACAATAAATTGGAAATTGAATTCACGTACACCTATAGCACCAAGGAGATTAACTTTCTAGATCTCTCTTTATTCAATAAAAAATGGAAGAATCACAACCAGTTCCTATTTTGAAAAAACGGACAGAAATAGTTTCATTCCACTAGGCAGTTGTCAGCACCCAACTTGGTTAGCCAATGTAAGGGAAAATGGAGCAACCATTTCTAGATATAAATATTGATTTAGTTCTTTATCTCTCTCTATCCTTGTCTTGGTCTTCACAATGACACAGTTACAATGAATAGAGCTTTATACAGCTGTGTGATTGTTTTAGGGCTTTATGCATAGATGCATGTACTCCTCTCAAACTTTTTAATGACCATGACCAGACTTCTTTGACATCCTGCTAAACCCAAAGGACAATGGAAGTAACAATAACATGTAGATAACTATTCGCATCTCAATGAGTTACACCAAAGACACAGATGACTCTTCAAAGAAAGATCAGATAGCTAGGTACCACCCACTGTAGAGCATATAAATTGTATTAGAAAGCCCTAGTTAGATTAGAGCATAACTTTGAATCCAACACCATGTATTGTTCTGCTCTCCCTGCATGGAGGTCTAGCTACATGCTTGTATAATAAACATCTACTTTTCAATCCGGCTTCAGCAGTCAAAATGTTACTGGAACCCATGAGTTTTTGGGTTTCCCCGTCAATTTGGTCCTTCGAGCCGGAAAGGGAAACTCTACAGACATCGTTTAGACACAGAAGGACAGCACAACCTGGGAAGTCATCTCTGCTGGCATTGGTAAGCTAACTTTCTGCTTACTATGATTCCCCTTGTGCTGTGCCTTTTTCTGTAAAGTCGATGTTGTGGAAAAGTACCCTTTCCCAAGAACCTTGACTGTTGAATTTTTTTCTTTTCTTTTTACTTTCCATACTATCTGTTACTTATTACTGTCCTTTTGCATGAATGTGTTCTGCTGAATGATTTGCCCTATTTCAGGTGCAATGTGTGGTTAGGTAGGATCTCTGCAGTTCCTGTTACCGGGCGACTGGGCAGGTCAGGGATCGGGTCTTCTGCCTCAAAATATCTTGAGGTATGACTGATAAGGTACTAAGTGTGGTGGGGCCACGTGGTCCATTGCCATGGGTGACAGGCTGCTTAAAAAACAGCACTGCTTGAAACATTAGTACCAGTTTTGATTGATGAAGCTTTCTTCTTTTTTTCTCTTCTGCGTGGCTCTCCATAAAGTCACACCATAAGTAGAGGAACTGTCTTTTCTATTCTACAGCAGTGTCTATAGACTGATGTGGAAGACTTTTTAGGGAAACAGAGCTGTCAGATACTATACTTTCTCTAAAAAGTTCTATAATCTTTTCCTATTGAAATTTTGGTTGCTTTGGTTGTACTGTATTGATCTCTTTATGCACTGCCATGTGTTTTACATATAAGTGGACTGTCTCTCTTTTTGTAGAAAGAAGTATTTTTTTTTTATAACCGTATAACCGAATCCCCTCAGCCTATGTGACTGAGGTGTCCCTGTTCAGTCTGTGTGGCTGATTTATGCATAGTATAGTCTGGTATATATCCTTGGCCAGGATTGGGGGCCAGATATACGGTTCCTGCTATTATCTAGGTATATCGTATCTTTGCATATGATCGTGGGGGCCTAGTAATAGATGAATTCTGACATTATCTAGGTATATCGTATCTTGCATTTGATCGTGGGGGCTTAGTAATAGATTAATTCTTGAGGAAGTCTCACCACCGTGTGAGATGGGGAATTGTACCACCGTGTACACCCCAAATGGGTATCTGTGTGATCCCACCGGGAGCTCCTCCTGGATTGCCAAAGTACATGATATATAACTTTGGAACAGGAGTGGCTAAAGCCCTCAAGGAATGGAACCAAGGCACACAGGGGTTTAGTACCCCTAAGAAGGGAAATTTCACCTTAAACTCTTGAAAGAATGTAAAAAAAAAAAAAAAAAAAAAAAAGGGTAATAATGAGATCTATATATAGATTTGAGGTACAGTCCAGAAAAAAAAATATAAGAGAGAGAATGCAGCCTTATTAGAGAAATGTGCTCATATTTTGTGTCTAGAATTTAAGCAAGCTAATTGTGAGAGTATGTTGTGTTAAGATGTGTGAGATCCATGGATTGTATGTTGTATTGTCTGGGATGACTGTATTAATGTGCCTAAAGTGCCCTGTCAGCAAAATATCTGACAATACTGATTCAATATCAGTGGCATAATGATTTGTTTTGTTACTTATGTTTTAAGGTGATGTGATGTTGCACGTAAAGGTAACGAGT